TTCTCTGCAGTGTGTTGCTGGCTTCCCTGCTGGACTGTGGTTGTTTTCCTTACTTGTTGAACTCTTTAATGAGAGGAACCAACAAGCCTTTCATTATGAAGTCAATTAAAAGCATAATCACAAAAGGGAATAAATAGAAATATTCTTTACATAAACAAAAACAAAGCAAAATATCACATAGGAATGGACATTTGGTCTGGTGGATGAGACGTCAAATGGTGGTAGAAACGGATCACAGCTCAAGTGTGAAGTAAATAATCAGGGACACAAAAAGGCTCAAGAGTTAAGAAATGCAAGTCTGATACGCAGAGGGCTGTGCCTTGAACAAAATGTCTCACTACTCAAGAACAAGATAGAGAAATAAAACAAATCAGGACACAGTTGCAGCTGGACCCTTCCAGCTGTAGCAATGAGAAGGTCATCAGTGACTAAATGACACATTTACAAAATCTGGCATGAACTTCCATAGCCCAGTGTGGACAGTCCCTAGACAACTTTCTCTTCCCACTGTGGGAAAGGAAAACTTTCCTTTGCATCAATAAACATTCACCGTTTTGGTCACCCTTCTTTGCTGGTGTTTGTCATTCTTCATGGTCACAGGACAAGAACCCAAATGGCCAGGACTATAATAAGACACCTGCTTCCATATCAGAATACCTGGGTTCCATTCTGGCCTCCAGTTCCTACACTCCAGCTTCCTGCTAATACAAAGCTTGGAAGGCTGTAGGGGTAATTGGGAAGGCCCAGGTAATTTGGTTCCAGCCTCCTATGGCTCTGGTTGAATTGCCAGCTCCTATCATTGGCCTGGTCCAGCCCTATGCTGGCTCACCATCTAGGGAGTAAACCAATAGATGGGATCTCTTCTGGTTTCTATTCCTCTCTGTCTCTCTTTCTGCCCCTTAAACATATATATAAATTTGAAAAAAGAAGAACAATACAAACTATATTTTCCAGCCTCCTGTCTGGCTAAGAGTTCAAAAAGCTTACTGAGACTAATGCATGTCAGGTGTGTGAGATCACACACACACACACACACAAGACTAGGCCCTGGCACCTTTTGGGCTGATGTGGGTGTCAGTAGAGGGAAGCAGGATTTGAGTGCATAGCAGAAGCAGTGGCAGCATGGTTTGGGGTTAGTGGCAGCCAGTTTGTGGTGTAATTATGGCACTTGCTCCAGATGATCTACCCTAACAGCTTCCTGATAAGAACTGAATGTCTATGTGTCTCACCCCCTATTCAAAGACACACACTCCAGGCTTCCAAGGAAGTAGGTCTTTCAGGAAGCAAGCAAGGTTCCTTCTGAGCATAAGAAAGGGGCTCTGATTCCATGGCACTAACGTCCTTGTAAGAAACAATGGAGACGTCATTCTCTGCTTCTCTCTCTCTGCTCATGCACAGAGGAAGGGCTGGTCATACGAGGCAAGCCTATCAAGCATGGAACGAGGCCCCTAGGTAGGATGGCTCCCCAGTCAGAACCTTGCTGGTAAACTTGGCCGCCTCTGGAGCTGTCGGTAAGTGAACTCGCTGAGCTGCCCAGTCTGCATCACTGTGGCCTTTTCAATGATTCATGAACTTTTTTAATAATTGGAAAGGCAGATCAGATATACATGGAGAAGGACAGACAGAGAGAAACATCTTCCATCAGCTGCTGGTTCACTCTCCAAATGGATGCAACAGCTAAAACTATTCAAAGCCAGGAGTCAGGAGCTTCTTGGTCTCCCATGCAGGTTCCCAAGGCTTTGGACTGTCCTTAACTGCTTTCCCAGGCCATAAGCAGGGATCTGGATGGGAAGTGGAGCAACCTGGACATGAACTGGTGCCTATATGTGATCCTAGTACATGCAAGGTGAGGATTGAGCCAGTGAGCCATTGCACTGGGCCCTCATAAACTTTCTGATAGCTTTGTTCTTTTTTTAAAATTATTTATATTCTAAGCTAACTTAGAGAAAGCTCTTTTTCTGGTGGATAATGACCCATGAATTTTTTTTAATGGAAAGGCAGACCAGATTTGCAGAGGGAGGCCAAGACAGAAAGACTTTCCATCTACTGGTTCATTGCCACAAATGGCGACAACAGCTAGAGCTGATCTGATCTGAAGCCAGGACCCAGAACCTTACTCAGGGTGTCCCACATGGGTGAAGTGTCCCAAGGCTTTGGAACATCCTTTGCTGCCTTCCTAGTCTATAAGTAGGAAGCTGAATGGGAAATGGAGCAGCTGGGATACAAGCTAGCACTTGCAGATGGAAGACTAGCCTATTAAGCCGCCAAGCCAGCCAAAAGATTTTTTTTGTACAAAGGGAAAAGATAAGGGATATTTTTGAGAGGTCCAGAAACTCTATTTTATACATTACATCTTCAAAACCCATAATACAGCAAATGCATGTAGCAGGAACATGGAAGATCTCCATGAAAGAATGTTAAGATTTATAGGAGCGGTATAAACATTACAGATTATATATATATATATATATATATATATATATATATATATATATATAACATATATATACATCTTATTTAACCACTGATGTTCCCTTTTCAATGAAACATACAATAGACAAATATTGATTACATATGTGTATTGACACAGAACGAAAATTCATCCAGTGTGCGCAAAAGGCCTCCATAAAGTGTGACTTTAAACAAGAATATAGGGCCCGGCGCGGTGGCGCAAGTGGTTAAGGTCCTTGCCTTGCATGCCCAGGATCCCATATGGGCGCCGGTTCTAATCCCGGCAGCCCTGCTTCCCATCCAGCTCCCTGCCTGTGGCCTGAGAAAGCAGTCAAAGATGGCCCAAAGCTTTGGGACCCTGCACCCATGTGGGAGACCCAGAAGAGGCTCCTGGCTTCGGATCGGCATAGCATTGACCGTTGCGCTCACTTGGGGAGTGAATCATCGGATGGAAGATCTTCCTCTCTGTCTTTCCTCCCTGTATATCTGCCTTTCCAATAAAAAAAAATAATAAAAATAAATCTTTAAAAAAAAACACGAATATGTCCCACTGCCCTGTGAATAGGAATCTATAAAAACTCAAGCTGAACAGTCAGTATACCATTTATTGAAACTTTAAGATAAGTACTGCTTTACTGAAATATTCTCCAAATTGAAAACTTGAAACCTGAAGAATTACTAACTTTGGGTATGTTAAAAATAACATGTAAACAGGATTTAAACACCTGAGACCAAAGAAGGCATTTAAGATGACTGTAACACACTATACTCTGGGCAAATTTCTGTTTAATTTTGTGACAGAAAAGAACAAATCAACTCCACTAAAGACACCATCAATTTTGAAAACAAGGAGTATCAGAAAGATCACTTTCTTTCCTATTTGTAACACAAGGCATTAAAGCTTGTACCTGCAAGAGCTTAGTAGAGAGACCGTTCAGGTGATAGAGTTCCCATACTGAACCCAACAGTAAATCAACTTGAAAAGAAGAGCATACAAATGACAAGACATCTACAAGTCAAACAGAATAAATGAAACATCCAGCACCCTGGAAGATGCCTGGGACACCATCAAGCTTCTGAGAACACAGCCTTGATAATTACGAAAGGCAGATAGACTACAAGGATGGGTCATCAGGGGGCTATGATGATTTGTTTTAATCACAGACTTCATGGAACGCGTCATCTTAACTCTCACTTGGTCATTCTCTGCCCTTAATCTAGGGGGAAAAACTTCTCAGTGAGTTTGAGGAAGGTAGAAGTTGTCAGCCTGGGTACAAGGGACCAGCGGATGGCAGCAGGAGGGAAGAAATGACAGCCATTGAGGAGGTCCAAGGCATGAGAAGAAGCATCCTCTACAAGAGCAGCTTCCCTGGAGGGTGAGAAGAGGCCAGAGAACTGCCCAGGAGAAACCGTTGCCATTTGGATCAGCATTTCACTCAAGCAAGTTATGGAATATAGACAGAGATGACAAGCAGATGGAATATCCTTGGCTACTGCTTTCCAAAGCAATAATCTGTAACTATGTCTGCAGCAGCTAAGCAAAAGGGCACTTATGGGTATCACTGGGGAACATACGAAGAGATTTCAGAAGGTTTGTGGAAAACAGAATAAAAGATCAATTTATGTGGGTGCAAGAAAATGTTGAAATCCGTACATCGTACTCATTTCTCGTGAGCTTTCTGAAGACCTCTTGTATGCATGACTTTCAAACACCTTTTGCACTCAAATAAACCATGAGGGTTTGTTGTGTCGATTCGAGAGACAGGTAGAGCTCCCATCCACTGGTTCATACCTTAAACACCTGCACCGTCCAGGGCTGGGCTGGGATGAAGCTGGGCACTAGAAACTCAATCCAGGTCTCCATGTGGGTGACAGGGACACAGCTCCTCAGTTTAGCATCTGCTGCACCCATGATTACAGGAAGCTAGACATCAGAAGCTGGTGGTGGGCATCCTCACCCAGGGATGTAGGTATCTTAAAGGGCACCTTAAATGCTAGGCTAAACATCTGCCTCAAAGTTACCTCCTAATGCCATTCCCACCCCCAGCCCCCACAAATGCTGTGAAATATCCTTGTATTTGAAACGAGTGCTGTGGAAAATTGCAGATGTCCGGCCTCATAGAATGAAAGACTGAGATGTGGGACACTGATGCTTTATCTTCCCCTGAAGTGGAACAACAGCTCAAGGGCAACAGCTGTTGGAGAAATGTGGGATTCTGGAGGGCACAAAGCTTTGGAGCTGATAGAAGACTGACCCAAATGCAATAGTGAAAGGATGATATGAAGCCGAGGGATAGGGACAGACAGGTTTGGGGAGAGGGGAGGCAGGAGAGGGCTAGGCTAAGGGAACACAGCACACAGCTGCTGGAATGGCAGGATGTAGGTTGTCTAGACTGGCTTATTCAGATTTACACATAGCCGTGGTCTCAATAGCCCTTTGTGTCTCATTGTGTTTTCAAGGTTCAGAATTAAGTATTTCTGAAATTAGGAGGGAAACTCAAATTTTTAATGTTCTCTGTGAATACACATCAAGGACAAAAGCCAGATACCTTCAGTCCTGGGTTGTCTGCTATGTACAGCGCCACGGCGGTCTCCTTCTTCTCTAACTGATATGGGATGACTGCAGTTTTCATCTAGGTCAGACCCCTGCAAAAGCATAAGAGAAAAACTCAGTTCTTCACTGTTCTAGTGGGTTGGCAGAGTGACTGTTGATTTTTCAGAGCTGAAGTTGCACACTGTGGATTTCTTTTAAATAGGATAAGTATTTAGAACTAAAACAATGGGAAAATATCTGCCCCCTGGAGCATCAGGCTCAAACAGCCATGGATGTGATTAATTGCATAATCAAAAATGAAGATCAAAGCTGAAATCACACAAACACAGAGAAAGTCAATATTTCATACTTCATCATTTCAGCATCCAGGCTGCTAAGCTGCCACAAATTCCATCAGAGTGGGAAACTGGAAAAAATCCTTTGGCCATAGTCACAGTGAACGCTATCGCTTCCTCACCTCCTCCCCCCCCCCCGGGGAATCCTTTGCCTACAGTGTGGATGGAAAGCAGTGCCCTTGTGGGAGCTGCAGATAGAGTCCCACACAGAAGGCAGGCAGCAAAGCCAATTAGAGCATTCCCTAGCATAGTTTGCTGTTCTAATCACAGCACGCAACATCTCAAACTGCCTTTTTACCATCTTGAAAATATCCCCTCTGATGGCAAATAAGGCTGAACGCCAACTCGATTTCTAAAAACTTTTCCAAACTCCCTAAAGAAGAAAAAAAGCTTTCTTAGTGGACTTCTTCATTGTTCAAAGTTCCCTTTGCTAGAAGTGGTTGCTGGTGGTTTTGTACACTTACATTTTTGGAATGGAAGCACATGCAAGTGCTCATAAAGCATCCCACCACTACCCAGCAGGTACAACTGGCTTGTTGGCTTTCAGAAGCTGGGGGACACACCTCTTTGAGGGGCTGTGAAATAAAAAGGCTTTACCCTGAGTTTAGATGCCCATTTTCTGACAATTTAGACAAGTGGCCAGTCACAAAATGTCTGATTTTTTGTTCATTTATTCTTAAATTTAAAGGAGATTTGAGGACAGATCTACATTATCATAGGTTGGTTCGAATTAGCATTGGAAATAATAAAATTAAAACTTTCCATGAGGGCCCTGTGTGGTAGCCTAGTGGCTAAAGTCTATGCCTTGCATGTGCCAGAATCCCATACCATATGGCTGCCAGTTCTAATCCCAGCAGCCTTGCTTCCCATCCAGCTCCCTGGTTGGAGCCTGGGAAAGCAGTGAGGGCAGCCTTGGGACTCTGTATCCGCATGGGAGTCCTGCAAGAGGCTCCTGGCTCACAGCTTTGGATCATTTCAGCTCCAGCCATTGCAGCCGCTTGGGGAGTGAATCATCAGACAGAAGATCTTCCTCTGTTCTCCTCTTTGTATATCTGACTTTTCAATAGAAAAATAAATCTTTAAAAATCTTTCCATGAATATTGCTGTTAGAATATTTTAGATATTTAACCAGTAACTTAGTTGCCATGTATTACTTTCATGTGGCAACCCACACTTTTTTTTTGAAAAAAAAGAGATTAGTTCATTCGAAAGGCAGTGACAGATGGGCTGAGACTGAGGGAGATGCAGTGTTATCTTCCTTCCTCTGCTTCACTCCCCCAAATGCTCACAACAGCCCAGGCTGGACCAGGCCAACGCCAGGAGCTGAGAACTCTGTTTCAGGTTGGCCACACAGGTGGCAAGAACCCAAACACCTGGGCCGGCATCTGTCACTTCCCAACTGCATTAGCAGGAAGTCGAATCAAAAGCAGAGATGCGATCTCAGATACTCTGGGATAGGGATAGCTCAATCCACTGAATCTAACCCTCCCCATACATTGAAAAATAAAAATAGAATTCTATTCACTTATTTCAGGGGCAGATAAAGTTTTCATCTACTGGTTCATTTCCCAAATACTCCCAAACACCGGGGCTGATATGGAGTCAAAGCCAGGAGTTCAATCCTGGTCTCCCATGTGAGTCACTTGAGCGATCACTACAGCCTCCCGTGTGAAAGTGGAAAGAGTCAGGAACTTCAGGATGGTACACGGGTGTCTTAATTGGCATTTTGCTTGTGAGACCAAATGCTCATTTCTATATATATTTTTTAAAGATTTATTTTATTTTTATTGGAAAGGCGGATATACAGAGAGGAGAGAAAGAGAGGAAGATCTTCCATCTGTTAATTCACTCCCCAAGTGAACACAACGGTCGATGCGATACCGGTCCGAAGCCAGGAGCCTCTTCTGAGTCTCCCATGCAGGTGCAGGGTCCCAAAGCTTTGGGCCGTTCTCTGCTGCTTTCCCGGGCCACAGGCAGGGAGCTGGAAGGGAAACGGGGCTGCCGGGATTAGAACCGGCGCCCATATGGGATCCTGGGCGTGCAAGGCGAGGACTTTAAACATTGCCACGGCACCGGACCCCATTTCTATATTTTTAAAAGTGGTTTAGCCTACCTACAGAGATTCGGTATCACATCTCAGACCATCCTGGCTGGCAACAAAATGTAGGTTCACCCTGTCCCTAGGCCATTGTCAATTTCATTGTATTTTAAACACTGCCAGCATCTGAGTAACTCCCTCTCTCTCCTATCCAATTTCAGAGAAAAGGATTTTATCTTTCCATGCAAAAAAAAAAGAGAGCATTTTTTAGAAAATAAGAGAAGAAAGTCAGCTGTACTCCAAACTAGAAAACAAACACTGTTAACATAGAAATCATATTTCTTTTGTTTTTCCCTAATATAGCTACAACATGTAATTTTTACTGTGGATTTTTCACTTGAGAAGCATAAATTCATGAGCAATTTACTAAGCAAATATCATTTGAATGAAACTTAAAATGAAATTTATTTCCTTCAATAAATATCTACCAGAGTCATTACAAATAAATGTTTTGTAAATATATTTTCTCACTTTGTGAGCTGTTTTTTTGTTTTATTTCTTTTCATCTACTTGACAGAGAAAGAAAGCATGCTTTTATCCACCAACTCAATCTCTACATGTTTGCAACAACCAGGGCTGGGCCAGGTCGATGTCAGCAGCCACCTGGTATATGATCTGGGTCTCTCATAGGGATGGCAGGGGTCCAAGCATTTGAACTATTATCTGCTCAAGTATCCATTAATAAGAAGCTGAGTTAATACCTAAATCAAGATTCATATTCTCTCTCTCCCCCTCTTTTTAGCATTCAAAGACTTTATTTTTGGTCACTACTCCTACCCTTGATTCAAACATAGCAGTACAAAATGAATAGAAGCAAACAAACAAAAAAATCAAGCTGAACCTCTCCCACTCCCTATTCATCAATCACTCCCAAGTCAAGGCCTGATTGATGTTTCTTTTCACCTCCTGTTACTCCCTCTGTCCAGGGTTCTGACCTCTGAAAGCCTGCAGAAACAGGGGGAGAGGGAGGTGGACCTTGGAGAATCCCTGTGTGTGGCAGCTTAGTCCTCTAAGAGTAAGTGAGCAAGGGGATACTACCCTAGGCTGCCATTTGTTGGTTCACTCTCCCAGTGAACACAACAGCAAGGGCTGGGTCAGGCCTAAGGCAGGAACCTGGAATTCCATCTAGGTCTCCAAAATGGGGGAAGGAGCCCAAGTACTTTGTTCTCCACTGCTTTCCTCAGTATATTAACAGAGAGTTCAGTTGGAAGCAGAGCAGACAGGATTCAGATCAGCACACTGTAATAGGATGGTTGCATTGCAAGTAATAATTTAGCCTACTATGCAACAGGGTTGGCCCGTAAGTTAACTCTTACGAACACTCAAAAGGTAGAAATAATTATATCTCTAAGTTTCTCTCTGTGAGAAGTCACTGTACCACTTGTAAGGTACCTTGGGTATTGTGCTACAGTTCAGTTTTCTATGGGTAATGACGCTTGTTACTAGTACTGTTTGCTGTGTTGGACAGGACTTTTTGTGGAATTATTCATCAGGGCAGAACAATGACAAGGGCCACAGGAGATGCCCTTTTTATGGACTCCTATGATGGGATGGATATGATCAGATTAATGATCTCCTTTTCAATATTAATATGCATGAAGACCAACTACATTTAACTACTTACTATGGATTCAGCTGCAAAAATTTGTGAAATTAGACACATACAGTTTTGTGCCAAATGTTTGTGTTCCTCTAAAATGTATCTGTTAAAATCCTATCGTGGCTGAAAGTGAAGCCTTTCAGAGGAAATGAGGCCATGAGGGTAGCGTCCTCATGATGGTATCTATACCTTTATAGAAAAGACCTCTTAGATTTAGCCAGGTCTCTCTCTATCCTGTGAGAATACAAGAGCAGATTGGCATTTTTCAGTCTGGAAACAGCCTTCACCAGAACCCAACCAGGCTGGCACCTTGACACAAGCACTCATCCTCCAGAACAGTGAGAAAAAAAACTTTTGGTGTTTATAACCTTCTCAATTTATGGTAGATTTTTAATAGTAATCCCAAATGACTAACATATACACACACATATGCCAATACTAAGTGTGAGTTTCAGCACAGACCAGCTGATTACTGTTCTGAGAAGAAACTCAGAAGACTATCTTTCTAATTGTGCTTTAGTAATTTAGTTTTTATGAACACATTGAAATATAATCATAACATACGATTATTACAAAAAAAATTCAAGCAACACAGGTGGGGCAATCAGTGTTGGGGAAGTATCCATCCTTTGTTAGCTTCTTCAAAAGGAGCTTCTTACCTCACTGTCACTGATACTTTGCAAGATTATGTTTTGGGTTTCGGTGACTGTCATTACATCCATTGGAGAAGAGTTCGCATCGTGACAGATGTCAAGCAATGACTCAGCATGTTTTTCTGTCAGAGAACATAATGATATGTATTGAAAAGATTCACCTCCAGCAATTGCACATGCAGATCTTGTTCTAGAGTCCATAATCAGCTCCATTTGTCACAGAGTTTCCTGAAATGATTGAAGGATCAACTAATGTTGATTCTCCATGTAATAATTTTTATGGGAAGAGGTATGAGAATAAAACAGGTCCATGGAATGTATGATTTACAGTTTCTAAAAATCAGCAACGTTTGGGCATGGCATAGTAGTCTAGTGGCTGAAGTCTTCTCCTTGGCATGCACTGGGACACTATATGCGCGATGGTTCTAATCTCGGCAGCTCTGCTTCCCATCCAGCTCCCTGCCTGTGACCTGGGGAAGCAGTTGAGAACAGCCCAAGGTCTCATGACCTTGCACCTGCATGGGAGACTGAGAAGAAGCTCCTGGCTCCTGGCTTCAGATTGCCACAGCTCCAGCCATTGCAGCCACTTGGGGAGTGAATTAACAGATGGAAGATCTTCCTCTCTGTATATCTGACTTTCCAATAAAAATAAATAAATCTTTTTTAAAAATCTTTTTAAAATTGCAATTGCCATTATTCAGAGAGAAAAATAACAGATATTTAATATTTTGAGCAAGTAGTATATATTTTTTTAAGATTTATTTTTATTATTATTTTTTTTTATTGCAAAGGCGGATATACAGAGAGGAGAGACAGAGAGGAAGATCCTCCATCTGATGATTCACTCCCCAAGTGAGCACAACAGCCAATACTATGCCGATCCGAAGGCAGGATCCAGGAACTTCCTCTGGGTCTCCCACATGGGTGCAGGGTCCCAAAGCTTTGGGCTGTCCTCGACCACCCTCCTGGGCCATAAGCAGGGATCTGGAAGGGAAGTGGGGCCGCAGGGATAGAACCGGCGCCCATATGGGATCCTGGGGCGTGCAAGGCGAGGACCTTAACCACTTGCGCCACCGCGCCGGGCCTGCAAGTGGTATATTTTTAAGAGTTAGAGTGAAATCACTCAACATCCAAGCACCTATCAAACCTTAAGAGTTAAAAGCAATCAAGAATCACATTTTAATTTTATATGGATTCAGTCATCTCAGCCTTAATGTCCTCATGGAAGCACCACTGTGGGCACTGGGACGTAAAGAAGACATTTTGAGCATTGAAATGGTTAACAGCTGCCTCAGGGAGGTCCACACACACAGCAAGGACACGTTTCAGCCTTCAGTTTCATAACGATGTCCCTCATGATGGAAAACAAAAAAAGTTTCTTGGTTTCTCCCACCTAATGGTGGAAATGCCTGCCTGCCGTGGCCAGGTAGTGGCTCAGTCAGTGCAGAAGTTTCATTCTTCGAGTCTCCACTTGCAGTCATTTTATGGGAAGTCAGGATGATCACAACACAATAAGGCTAGCCACTTAAGCCACAGTAGTTCGGGCCACTGAGTAATTTTTAAAAATTAGAGCATACAGCTTTTGTCTTTAGTGAATGCAAGAAGAGATACTGAGTTAAATAAGGGTCAACTCACCACTTCAAGCATTTGGGGTGAACAGGTGTGTTTTAGACAAAACTGCTAAGTGAGTTCCCCTACAGGGAGCTGGAAATCACATTTGTGGCACAGTTGCCAGGAGAGCTCTTCCACACCTTGCACTTGAAACCACATCCAATCTACAGGGTCCTCAACACAGAGCAGTGTGATTCCCAATTAGTCCCCAGGAGACATTGCTGTCTTACGTATTCCTCTCCGGCTATCCTGCCCACTTCAAATAAGGATGGGCTCTTTATAACAAAAACTGAGCTTCCCCATGTCTTTTCTACTCATCTGTAGCTGAAAATCTATGCTTGGACTCTCCATTTCTTCATTGTATTTTCCTTTTTTCACTCCTTGCAATCTCCTGCCTCTATTCTGCCTTGAAATTTCTCACTTCCTTATCATATCTGAGATGTGAGCTTTTTCCAGTTTGGCCTGTTTCTCTCTCTCTCTCTCTCTCTCCCTCTCTCTCTCTCTCTCTCCTTCTCCCTCTCCCTCCCCCAGCACCTTTCCATCCCACTTTCTCCTAAATCTCAAGGTGCTCATCACTCTCTAAGAGTGGCTACACCTCCCCGGTGTAACTGGCCATTTTCTCACCATCATCCATCCTTCAACCATCTCACGCACTTTCCAATCCTCATACACTCCTTTACCCAGAGAACCCCAAGCGAACCCTTCAGTCCTTCCTTTTCCACACCCCCAGTCCTATAGAAAGCTGCTGCCTGAAATTCTCAAGCTTTCCTCAAAGTCAGTGTTTTTAAATTCATCACCTTCCCATCCCATGCCCTCACTGAGGCAGAATATTAGGCTATGTTGTTGGTTGTGTTTCTATCGCTTCAGTTTTGAGGCCTGAATCTTCACTTTATTTATTTATTTTTATTTTTTTAAATATAGGTTTATTCATTTTTATTGGAAAGCCGGATATACAGAAAGGAAGAGAGACGGAGAGGAAGATCTTCCCTCTGCTGATCCATGCCCCCCAAGTAGCTACAATGGCTGGAGCTTAGCTGATCTGAAGCCAGGAGCCTCTTTGGGTCTCCCATGTGGGTGCAGGGTCCCAATGCTCTGGGCCATCCTCGACTGCTTTCCCAGGCCACAAGCAGGAAGCTGGATGGGAAGTGGGGCCAACAGGATTAAAACCGGTGCCTATATGGTATCTCGGGGCAAAGTGAGGACTTTAGCCACTAGGCTACCATGCTGGGCCCAATTTACTTATTTTTAAAAGATTTGTTTGTTTGCTTATTTCAAAGTCAGAGTGACACAGAGAGGGAAAAATATGCATAGCAAGCAACATCTTCCATCTACTGGCTTGTTCAACAAAGGCTGGCAACAGCCAGGACAGTTCAAGGAGAAATGCATCTGGGTCTCCCACAGGGGTGTTGGGACTCCAGGCACTTGGATCATCATCTGCTGCTTTCCAGGGACATTAACTGGGAGCTGGATCACAAGCACAGGAGCTGGGACTCAGTCCCAGATTCTCGGATATGGGTTGTAGACATCCCGAGTGGCTATGCTATGACAGAACGCCCAGCCCTGGGCCTGTTTAATGCATCTCTCTCAGCTTTTGCTTCTGTGTCTTCTCCATCAACTTTACATCTCTAAGTTCTGTGAATTGTTCTTATGCAGTAGATTCACCAAACCCAATACTTATTGTTGCAGCACCACATTCCATCCAAAGACTCTTTTTTGTGGACCTTAATTCTCCATATATGGGCATTTCTATGACTTCTTAACTGAAATCTCTGCCTTTTCCCTGAAATGCATCTAACACAGTAAGAATAAGTGAATTTTTCCTAGTACATGGCTTTCACCATTCTCAGGGTTAAAATTCCTTAGTGACTGAGCCTAGTGCGATGGCCTACTGTTTAAATCCTTGCTTTGCATGCTTAGGATCTCATATGGGCACAGGTTCATGTTCCAGCTGCTCCACTTTCCATCCAGCTCCCTGCTTGTGACCTGGGAAAGCAGAAGAGAATAGCCCAGAAACTTAGGAGACATGTGGGAGACCTGGAGTAAGTTCCTGGCTCCTCACTTCGGATCGGCTCAGCTCCAACCTTTGTGGCCACTTGGGGAGTGAACCAGCAAACAGAAGATCTTTCTCTCCATCTCTCCTTCTCTCTGTAAATCTGATCTGCTTTTCCAATAAAAACACGATTTTTAACAAAATAAATGAATTCCTCGGTGATTCTATTTTATTTTGGGAAATACGTCCTTCGGCCTAACACGTAAGTCTGTCCTAAGTTTCTTTAGGAGTCTAATGATGTGGACATTTGGTCCCAGGTTTCCGGGGGCTTCTGGGATAAGCCAAGCTCACTCACAGCATAGTGACTCTGTACCACAAAATCAAATCCCTTCCTCTTTGCGAAGATCAGAGACTTACCTGTTCCAGGAAATCTTCTCTGGCATAAGCTTGTCTGCTGCCCGAGAAGCTTCACGTGAAAGCCATTCAGTCAAGTCAGGCAGCTCTCCCAAGTCACTGGCTGCTCCGTGGCACACAGTTCAGGACACCCTGCCCCGTGACAGTGTCTCTGCCTCCTCTGAGATCCTTCCTCTACATCTGTATCAAACCTTGCCATATCTCACCAGAGTGTAAGAACCACTAAACTTTCCTGCTCCCCTTGCCAGCTCATAGCCAGCACTCTCCAACTCTGACTTAAGTGACACACCCTGACCATTCTTCACACTTTTCTAAGTCTGGGGCGTGCAGTCTCCTGACAGCTCCATGGGATCATCAGTGAGTAGTAACAGTGTGGGCTGGATTTCTTTAAGTCAACCCATCAGACCACTGTGGGAAAAAAGATTTCTAATAGAGCTTTTTCTTGTTTTTCAGCAAAAGAGTTGTGCACATGGAATTGAAATATTTACCTGGTTTTGGCATAGAATTCATTAGGATGTCCAATAACTGCTGTTTCCTCCAACTCTGTATCTGTGCCACATAATGTATTGCTGACTTTCCGCTGAAATCACAGAGTTTAGGATCTCTAAGAAGAATAAAATCAACATCAACAATTGGTTTAGCAAGACTTGTTTAAAAAAAGAAAAATTAATATGAGAGGTAAAAACATTGATATTCAACAGAATAATTTATGACATTTACAGATAGGGATTTAAGAGTGTAACTTTTAAAAGTGTTATATACAAAGGGTAACTTTCTTAAAACTTTTAAGTAAGATGTATGTTCTATACCTTATTCCCTCCCCTTCCCCATTCTAACAACAGATTTGCGGAAGACAATCAACTTTGGAGAAAATTTTCCATAATTCTTTAAGGGTCCATAAATCAAGTAAAGAAAAATATCTTAATAAACTGTTTTCTTATCATCCAAAATCACTCATTTTTCCCCAGAAACTTGACTAAATATTAACTTTTATTTTGTTTTCCCAATACTAACTGCTAGCTTTTTTTTTTTTTTAAGATTTGTCTATTTTTATTGAAAAGGCAGATACACAGAGAGGAGATACAGAAAGATCTGCCATTTGATGGTTCACTTCCCAAGTGTTCACAATGGCTGAAGTTAGTTAAGCCGATCCCAAGCCAGAAGCCAGGAGTCAGGAGCCTCTTTCTGGCCTCCCACATGCTTCTGGCCATCTGTTATTCCTTCCCAGACCACAAGCAGGGAACCAGAAGGAATATGGGGTAACTGGGACATGAACTGGCACCATACAGGATCCTGGCACATGCAAACAAAGATCTGGCCACTAGGGCATCATGCCAGGCCCACTGATAGCTTTTTTAGCATTTAAAATGGTAGATAGTATTCAATCTCTCTTAAAATCAAACTGATAATGGGAGTGAGCATTGATCCTGGTGGTTATAATACCCACATCCAACACTGGAGAACCTAGGTTTGATTCCCAAGTTTGGCGACAGGCTCTAGCTTCCTGCCAGTGCAGACCTTGGGAAACATTGGTGGTGGCTCAAGTAACTGGGTTTCTGCTGCCCACATGGTGGATCCAACTGAGACCGGACCTTTGGCTCTGCATAAGCCCCAGCCAAAACAGACATTTGGGAGCATGAACCACAGCTTAGAATTCTTTCTGTTGTGTTGAATTTTAGCATTAGCTATTAGTTTACAGAAATTTAAAGGATAAATGATGATAGGGCCAGGGCAGTGGCATAATAAGCTAATTTGATGCCTTGTGGCACCAGCATCCTATATGAGCACTGATTCGAGTGCTGGCTGCTCCACTTCTTATCCAGCTCCCTGCTAAAGAGCCTGGGAAAGCAGCAGAGGATGCCCGAGGCCTTGGGCTCTTAAACCCACATAGGAGACCTAGAAGACGCTCTGGGCTCCCAGCTTCAGACTGGTCCAGCTCTGGACACTGTAGCAATTTGGGTATCTTTCTCTCCATCCCCCATACTTCCTCCTTTCCTCTTACCCCCTCTCTCTGCAACTCTTTCAAGTAAAACAAAAATCCTCTTAAATAAATAAAGGAGACATGATGAGAAATTATTAATAGATTATAGTTAGGGAACAAAGCTAAAACTCATCCTACTTGTTGTGCTTTGGCACAAGAAGCAAGTTGATCACAATCTCTCAACCTAAAACTTTTGAATTTGTTTCATGAATCTTCATTGATATTCTCCTGAGACCTCTTCATAAAAGGTCATAATTCAAAATGATAGTGTAGGCTGCCACAAGCCTGATATGTGGCCTTAAGCAGCACACTTAAATTTTGGGGTCTTGCCTGGCTTATCTGCCTGGATTAGTGTTTCTCCATACAACATATTTTTTAAGATTTATTTATTTTTATTGCAAAGTCAGATATATAGAGAGGAGGAGAGACAATGAGAAAGATCTTCTGTCCAATGATTTACTCCCAATGATTCAAGTGACTGCAACAGCCAGTGTTGCGCCCACCCAAAGCCAGGAGCCAGGAGCTCTTCCAGGTCTCCCACACGGGTGCAGTGTCCCTAGACTTTTGGGCCGTCCTTGACTGCTTTCCCAGTCCACAAGCAGCTTTATGGGAAGCGGAGCTGACGGGACTAGAACCCATGTCCATATGGGATCCCGGCGCATGTAGCCTCTAGGCCACCACGCCAGGCCCCATTCACCATTTTGGTCTCCCATATTGAGCACTCTATCCAGACCATGTCTGCGGTAGTGCCCAGTAGTCCCCAGTTTTAACATTGCCTCTGCTGTTTCCTAACACTAAAGCCGCTGGTAGCTGTTAAAATTCCACCTTCATTCCATTATACTCACATCCTTTCATAAAAGCTCATGTTCTTTACTATGTGTTTTTTTCCTTGAAGCTCTTTTTCTTTTTTTTTTTTTTTACAATAAAATTATATGAAATACTGAGAAACAGCTTGAACCATTGTTCTTATTTGTTACCTAGATATCCAGATAAAACTTTAGGAAACTGTAATTCTAACAGAAGAGACTGTTTATTAATCAGTCAAAAGACTGACAATGCTTTTCAAGATAATTAGTAATGCCCTGAGGGTAAGCTGTTGCATACTTGAGCATTATTTGGCGTTCCTAGTAACTACTGAAACAATAATTACCGAAACAAAGAACTTGGTACCGAGAATACTAGAGAGCAAATTGTGACTTCTGTACAACACTTTGCAGTTGCAAATTCCCTTTTATGATGATGCAAGTGTGCATTTAGCTTCCAAAACCTCATGGACAATGAATCACAAAACTGAAAAAATAGTGTCCAGAAGCTTGGGGAAGCCTCTCACAAAACAGAAAAACAATCTATGCATCTAGTTGATGTGCGACTTCTGTAAATAACAATGGAAAAGACAAGTTGTTGAGTCTGGCCAACCCTTCATACTCACGCATGGTGCCTGAGGAGCTCAGACAGAACCTCAGCGGGTCTGTAGACTGTTGACAGCTCAAGACTCTCAAACAGGTCGACATCTCTCACAGCAAGCATCAGAGGGGTCAGGCCATGTTGGTTTGGAAAATTAATGTCCAGGAACTCTTCAGATGCCTTTAAAAACATGAAGCTTTGTTTCCACTGTGTGTTTATTGTCTGGCTGTTTGCATTAGTAATGACATTGCCATGCCTTGGCCAATTTCTCATTTAGCTTCAATGTATTCTTTCCCTAAATCTACCCTTAAAAGGATGTGTTGAGGCCAAGGAACATAAGTTTGAAAGACAGACTTTGTTTCGATCATAGCTTCCTGAGTTGCTTATGCAGCCTCCCTAATAGAGCTCCTTTGTTCAATAGTAATTCAGTTATTTTGATAAAGCAAAGGATATCCGGTTAAATGATGATTAATTTTATTTGGGGGCATACAAATGGTAAAATTAAGTATTTATTGTTGATCATATATTCAAATTGAACCAGATATACGGTATTTTTTTATGCAAAAGTTAACAACCTTACCTACTGAACTTCAGGATCCTCGACCTGAAAAGTTAGAAAACTAGAGTCTTCCTTATAGGGTTGTTTTGATTATTTTAATGGAAAATGGAAAGCACTTATCAGAATGCCTAACAGTAAATGCTCAGTTAGCATTGGTTAGATAAATAAATGAATTAGCATAATAAGGTTGCTCATTAAGTTACGTTTATATCATCAAGTGGAAGTGGGTATGGGGATGTTACTTGTTGCTTCAATGAAAGTAAAATTTATTTTGAATAATATAGAACTGGAAAACTGCAGGAAGCTCAAGATACCCAAATTGTTTATTTTGCAGACAAAACCCACTACTTTCCATCCATACCTCATTGTATGCCACATTAGGGTATTTAGTGCCTGCACCCCAGCTTCTCTAGGGAAAAGTGATAATGATATTACCTCAGCAGGGTGCTGAGGGAATTCATTTTTTTTTTCAGATCCAAAAAGAAATCACCTCTTACATCAGTGTTTATTGTTAGTTAGAACAAATAAAAAGTTCTGAGCCAAGAATAGTCTTGCAATAGCACATGAATGCATCATGTGGTGCTTAAGATCTGCAAACCATTACAGTCACTGCTTCTCAAAACCAAGCACAAACACATGAATGGAAACAGATAACAGGTTAGAATTCCAACTGTTGAAGCTACCATTAAAATAAAATTTATCATCTTTCAAAATATTTCAAAGGTTTGGTTCACCATACATGTCAATTTAAGACTATCATTTAATGCAAAAAAAAAACCAGATGAAATGTGTCTTTAGGTTTTACTACATTTATCCTTGAATTGTACAGGATTAGAATGGCTTTCATTTCTCTTTGTCTATTTTTGTCTTTGCCCCAAGGGATTAGAGAAAGCGGTTGCCTAGCAGCCATTGATTTTCCTTCACTTGGAAGGTCACATGGTCTAGACAATATCTGTGAAAATAAATGCCAAAAGTAGGCAACCCCATAATTAAGGTCCTTGATGATGCATATGATCTCACTGAAGCTTTGGGGAGAAAAATAGCTGGAAGTTGAAAATTTTAACAGGAGGATCAATAACCCAAGGAAGCAGCATTTGAAAAAAAGGGGGGTCCTCTTAACTTTTTGAGTCACAACTAAATATTACGTAAGACACAGGTTCTTTGATTTCCTTTTTGGGATAAAGATAATAACTGCAGCTGGTCCAGAGGGATCTAAACAGCAACTGTGCAAATGGCAATGATGTCAGGGGAGCATCTGTGAGCTAGCTGGCAGTGGTCCTCTGGGGCTTCCCTGGGAGCACAGCATTCCCCAGGGGTGCTCTGTGACTGCTAGCATCCAGCTGTAGGAAGGTGGAAATAAGCCACTGTGAGATGCGTTTAGTATTTTGTTTTCCACTCCAATATCCTGTTTGATTTGCTCCTCTCCAATGTCTTGCCGGAAACTTTCTGGGATTGAGTTTGAAAATAATTTAACTTTCTTCCTATGGAGCCCTACATGGCCTGTGCCCTTCTTGCCATCCACCCACTTAAAGGCAGAAACAAACACCCATTTAACTAACCAGTAAATGTTGAAGTTGGTCGAGATTCCCTTGCCATGCACTTTGTAGAAGTTGCCTTTGGGGAGCCTGGTTTCCACTGATAGCCAAGAGCTGCCTCTGGATAGCGCGGCTAGCCACATGGAGAGCCGTTTGGTTGCTGTAATTGCAGAGAGTGATATCCGCACCCTTTTCCAGAAGAAATTCAACAACCTGCAACACAATGTTCTTATTGTCAAATGCTCTTTGTGTTCTCAGGGCCAGGCAGAAAACGGATGTGGCTTGGATTTATAACACAGGAAAGGAGAACAAGGAAGGAATTAAGAAATTAAAGATTGAGTAAGATGAAGGTAGCTGCTTTCCTTCTTAAATATAGGAAACAAATGTGGATGGTGTCTGGGTATGATTTGTCAAGACTAGACATTTACTTCTTTTCATTATTATCATTTTATGATACAGTTCCATAGGCACTGGGATTATCACCTCCCCAAATCTCTCCCCCCTCACTGAGTTCCCCTATATCATTACTATAGTATAGTATAGCATAGTATAGTATAGTTCTTCATAATGTATGTTAAATCCACAAAACATGAAAGTTTTACAATTGTCTATAACTTAGACTGTGACACCCAGGCCTCACCACACCCACATGGATGAAAGGAATGCAGTTACTAGACGCGTCACTGCCGCCTTCCAGGGTCCACATCATCAGTGAGCTGGAATAACAGCAAGCTGGGCATTGAACCCAGGATCTCTGGTAGGAGACGCAAGCATCCAGACAGTGTCTTCACTGCTAGGCCAAACACCCAGCCCCTGAGGAGGTAATTTACTCAACAAACATGGTTTCACCTTCAATTGTGTATCAAGATCTACACCCAGTGTTGAGCTTCAAGAATGAAAAAGACAAGTAGCTAGCCTGTAAAGTATTTGTAGTCTAGCAAAGGACAGAGACAAATAAAATGACAATTGCAATACACTGTGGTGAATGTAACGGTGGAGTTGAAAACAGAAGGCTGGAGGGGATCACTTGGAAGAAAGCTATTGGGTCTGGTGTGGTGGTATAGCAATCTAAGCCTCTGTCTGTGGTACCAGTTTGAATGCCAACTGTTCCACTTCCAATCCAGCTTCCTGCTTATGGCCTGGGCAAGTAGTGGAAAGTGGCTCAAGTCCTTGGACCCCTGAATCCCTGTGAGAGTTGTGCCAGCCCAACTAACACACTCTCTCTCTCTCTCTCTCTCTCTCCATTCTGTAACTCTGCCTTCCTAATAAAAATAAATAAATATTTTAAAAGATGAGCAAGAAAGCCATTATGCCATCTTGGAATGCCCAGGAAGCCTTTCTGGAGTAGATAATGTCTTAGCTGGGATCTGATTAGACTCAGATAACCAGGTAAAGATTAGCAGAAATGTTCCAAGTAAAACACAGAGTGTGAATCAAGTACTGTGGACTAGAGGGCAAGTAACAATCAAAACTCTAGAAGGAATTATATATGGCTGGAGCTCAAATAGGAGGAGGAAGGGAAGGAGACACAGGTGAAGAAGTCAGCTACCATGAGATCCTGAAAGGCTTTATTAACCCCTATGAAAAGTCAGAGCTGTGTTTTCAGAACAACAAGCAACTAGTGAACAATTTAATTGGGGAAATCACGTATCAGTGTTTAGAAATCACTCTGCTGCAATTGATTGATTGGGGAAGAGTGGAAGTGGGGAGGCTCTGTGGGGACTCCAGAAAACGTGGTGGTGAGAGGCAGGAAAATTACATTGGTGACAGAAGGGTGGACGGCAAAATCGAGAAACAGCTAGGAGGCAAAATGTACAGGGTGCGGTCACTGACTAGGTAGGGGAGCTAATGGCGAGCCAGAGATCAAGAATAACTCCTAAGTTTCTGCCTCTGGTACACTTTTATGCATTTTCTTTGCTGCTTCTGCAGACCAAATGACCAAAGTCCCTTAAGGGACCCGAACTGATGAAATTCTGTTCCTACTGGTCTTTCTGTTTCCACATGATTGAGGGACACCAATATTACAGGGATGAAAAGAACCTATCAATAAGACTAGAGAGCAGTTTGCTGGGGGAGCTGGCTTTATAGCACAATTGGTTAAGGTCAGTATTCTGTATGGATGCAAATTTGAATCCCAGATTTCCCACATCCAAGCCAGTGTCCCCTAATGTACCTTGGAAGGAGCAGTAGATGGTCCAACTGTTGGGGCCCTTGCACCCACAAAGGAGACCTAAATATAGTACCAGGCCCCTTATTCCAGCATGGCCCAGCCCCTGATGTTGAGACCCTGTGCAGCCATTCCCACCCAGTGTGTGGAAAAATCACTCTCTCTCTAATTCTGCCTTTCAAATAATGAGTAGCTTAATTTTAAAGCAAGTTTTTCAGGGAACTCAAAGGGAAAAAAAATCAGAAAAAAATACATGGAAGAAAAAAACTACAGGAAAAAAAATTGCCATCAAGGTTCCTAAGAGCTGAAAGTGACTGGGGCGTAACATTGGTAAGAGCTGTTTCAATGGAGTATAGAAACAGATGTCAGGCTGCAGCAGACTGAGAATGTGAGGAACTAGAAGCACTGTGGATTGGCTGGTAGAATATTGTGTAGAGGTCATTTGTCTCTACACAGGTCTCAGGTAGGCACTGTTGTTGTTCTAGACAGATGTTTCCATGGTGAAGAACCTTGGAAGGCAGAGAGGGTATCTCCCTCGGGAGCAACTGGAAAGCATGCTTACTATCCACTCAGAAGATTCAGATTCCTAAGGCTGAGAATTCCTCTCCCATAATAATTCTGTGTGGGCAGAATATACTTTGTTCTTTTCACATTGCCTTGGGCAATTCGGGGCTCAGCAAAGTGAAGCAAATGCTGGTGTCTCACCTCTGACTATTGTGAGTAATAAACTCTCACTCCAATTCAGGAGTCTTGCATTTTCTGCAAGGATCCAAGTTGTGTCAGCCTAACTTGCTAGATTGCAAATGGGGAATGACTTCAAATACTTCAAACTTGACTCCTCTTGCTTCCTGGAATCATATGGTCCCACACAGACCGGCACTATCATCATAGACACAAAGTGAAGGACTCCATGTTTCTGACATGGAGGTAAAATTGGAACTCCTCAAACAGAATATATTATTTTGCAGTGGTGGAAGGAGACCAACAATCAACGTATCTAGGAAGAAAGCATCTTAGGCCCCCGGAAGTCCAGGGAAAGAAAGAGCGTGTAATGATCTTTGTCTTCCAGAATCAACCTTGGAGCTTTCCTCAGGAAGAAAAATATTCCAGTGTGTGGCTATCTCGGACCTTGGTCTAAGTTTACTTTAAACTTACTAGCTGCTGGGCCTACTACCCTTTGTTTCAGACTATTTTTCAAACTTCTTTGTACAGTAAACAGTCTTGGAAGACAGGGACAGGATCTCCCCTTGTGCTTACTGACCATTGCAACAGTTTTGTAAGTTTTCCTATATTCCAACTCATTGCATTTGCAGGGGTCATCTGGTCTTCTTCTTATTACCCTATGGGAATTGGAGCTCAACAAAATGATACATAACTCATAATACCTCACTAATGGTATTATTGCAAGTTACATTCTGTCCTTTGGACTTAAATGCTCATCAAAAGTGTCATCACATCTTACAATGACAAAAATCAGCCAATTAACTATAAAAGTAGGAGATACAAATAAGTTGTGGTGTACATAGTTATTGAATAGAATAGGACTAAAAATTAAAAGCTGCATTTCTGCATTTCAAAGTACTTGATTTTCAGATAAATTTATATGGGAACACTTAGAATGTTCATTTATTTTTAAAAAAGATTTATTTATTTTTATTGGAAAGGCAGATATACAGAGGGGAGAAGAGACAGAGATGAAGATCTTCCATCCACTGATTCACCCCCAAGTGGCTGCAATGGCTAAAGCTAAAGCGATTCCAAGCCAGGAGCCTCTTCCGTGTCTCCCATGTGGGTGCAGGATCCCAAGGCTTTGGGCTGTCCTCTCCTGTTTCCGCAGGACACAAGCAGGGAGCTGAATGGGAAGCAGGGCTGCCGGGATTAGAACTGGCATCCATATCAGATCCTGGTGTGTGCAAAGAGAGGACTTTAGCCACTAGGCTACCATGCTGGGCCAGTGTTTGCTTATTTTTATAAAGCTCAAAAATATGTAAGCAGGGAATTATTTAGATGCACATATAAAAGTGGCAAAGCTAAAGGAATTAGTTACCCAAGATAACAGTTACTGAGGGTGAAGGATAAAATTTATGAGAGGTGGGCAGAAAGTTCCAGAAGCATGTGATACTTAATCTGGGGGTATCGAGTGGTGGCTACATAGGTGTTCATGTCATGATTTTTCTTTAAGTCAAATACACGTGCTACATATTTTTAAGTACATATATTATCATTTGTTTAAAGAGTGTTAATGAAAAGGATTCAACAGAAAGAACTAAGAATATTGTCATGGGATGGCACTCACTGTGGAACAGCATGTTAAGCTGCCACTTATGTGGGCATGTCGTATCTGGGTGCTGGTTGCTCCACTTCCCATCCAGCTCCCTGCTAATGCACCTGGGAGCAGCAGAAGATGGTCCAGGTGCTTGGGCCCTGCATCCATGTGGGAGATCCAGATGGAGTTCACGTCTCCTGGCTTCAGCTTCACCCCGTCCTGGCTGTGGTGGCCATTTGATAAGTGAACCAGTGGATGGAAGCTCGCTCGCTCTCTTTCTCTCTCTCTGTCTTTGTCATCATGCCTTTCAACTTAGTAAACAAAGAATAAATAAATCATTTTAAAAAAAGAATATTGTCAACAGGAAAGTTACACAAACAGGTAAAGTGGCCAGGCAGGGTTGAGAGTACTTCATTAAGGATCCCAAAACCTTCCGGAGTCGCCAGCCTGAGCAGCTGAGTGCAATAGCTCTTTGCACCCTAGTTTTCCCATTCCATGGCCTTTGCTGTTCTCTCTATGCTGCCATTCCCAACTCCAAGCGCTCACATTTTCTCACTATTGCCTACCTTGCTGAGAAGGATCTTACAAGTTCCTACACACAAGGATAAACATTATTAGTAAGACCTGAATGGAGTATTTAGTCTTCGATTTGTTCACTTGGCAATGATGTGTCAACTCTGTGTGGACCTGGAGATCCAGTCAGGAAACAGAGAATGCAGTCTTCACTTATTTATTCCTCTTTTCCTACTTTAGGTGAAGTTGTGACTATTTTTTTTTAGAACAGAGACTTAATTGCCAGCTACTTATAGAGCTAAGAGAGGAGAGTGGGGAAGGAAGACAACCTCTTGTGTGGTCCCACTTGCCTAACAGCCTTGGGAGTGCTACCACTGTTTGATGTGCCTTTGTATCCATGGGAAGTCCAGTCCCTTGCCTTGGTCATCACAGGAGTATCTGTGGACTGACTGATGGTGTTTGTCTAAATCTAGGGTATCTCTTCTGTGCAAATGGGGGGTGGGGTTGCTCACAAACATCTCAGTCTCAGAATTTTAACATGAAAGAACATTCCTTCGGCCCAGCACACCATGTGTTACCTCTGCTAGATTTCCTTCTGCGGCCGTAATGAGCGGTGTGTTCCCAGTCTGTGGGTGCTGAAAGTCGAGGATTCCAAGCGTGGAATGGACTTGGGCAATGTGATCACAGATGAGCTCCACATCACCTCTGGAAACGACTTCCAGGAAATCATGAATAAGTTTATTTTTATTCATCTTGCTACTTCCATAGAGTCCCCTGCAGGAGCAAAAGAAATGAGTTTAATTATATGGGAGCCAACGAAGTAGAGGATGGCTGTAGCGTAACATTCTGCCTTTACTGTCACCTGTTTGCTTTTTCATGTATAAAAATACTATAACAGTTTTAGCTACCAGTTGCAAAAGAGAGAAATCCTACAATTCCTCCAGTCTTTGCATCTATATTTTAAATTAGGAATAACAGTAATTTAATCATTACTTTGGAAGAGTCACAATCGTATTGGGGGAGAAAAGAAGGATCAAGAGCAGGACAGAAAAAGCACAGACTTGGGAGCCTGCCTGGTCTCAGTCCTTTCTCCAGAGACTGCCAGCTGCACGCTCTTGAGCAGGATGCTCATCTGCTCATCTTCATGGAGCTGCATCTCTTCATCCCTAAAACGTAAATGAGGGATGCTGCTCCGAACATCCCATGTCAGGACGCCTGGCTTCAATCTTTGCCCCATTTTCAACTCCAACTTCCTGATGGCTTAAGTAGTTGAATCCTACATGGGCACAGGTTCATGTCCCAGATGTTCCACTTCCCATCCAGCTTTCTTTTCGTGGCCTGGGAAAGCAAAGGAAGATGGCCCAAAGCTTTGGGAGTCCTGCACCCACATGGGAGACTCAAAGGAAGCTCCTTGCTCCCAGCTTCAGATCAGCTCAGCTCTGATTATCACGGGCATATGGGAAGTGAATCTGCAGATGAAAGTCCTCTCTCTCTCTCTGTAAAATCTGCCTTTCAAATAAAAAAATAAATAAACCTTTTTAAAATTTTTTAAAAGGTTTATTTATTTATTGGAAAGTCAGATATACAGAGAGGAGGAGGGACAGAGAGGAAGATCTTCCATCCGATGGTTCACTCCCAAGTGGCCGCTGCTGCCGGAGCTGAGCCAATCCAAAACCAGGAGCCTGAAACTTCTTCTGGGTCTCCGACCCGGGTGCAGGGTCCCAAAGCTTTGGGCTGTCCTCGACTGCTTTCCCAGGCCACAAGCAGGGAGCTGGATGGGAAGTGGAGCTGCCAGGATTAGAACCCATGCCCATATGGGATCCTGGTGTATTCAAGGCCAGGACTTTAGCCGCTAGGCCACTGTGCCGGGCCCATAAACCTTTTTTTTTAAAAAAAAAAAAAAGATGTATATGTATGGAAATAAGGCATATATGGCCATTGTATGTGTATGTGCACACACACACGGAGGTTTTAAGAACATACCAGTATTTTTGTACTAACTGTACCACTCATTGCTTATTTTTTAATTGAACCCTTTGGTTTTCTGCTTTGTCATTGTCCGCAAAGGCACTTTTGGCTCACACACTTCTGCCATGTCTTATAATCTCCGCGGCTGACAGACCTCTGGGATCTTTCAGCTTCCCACTTCACAAACAACACTGTGTGATAAATGTCCTTGCTCAGGCCTTGTTATGCATCATGCAAAGTTGTAGCGTGGTTGTTTTTTTTTTCTCGAGGCAAGTGAGTCAAGTGTATTTAATTTCACTTAGTGGGTCCAGATTGTTCTCCACAAGGAGCTATCAATTTACATTTCTACCAGAGTGTCTCTTTTCTTTACCCCCGTCTAAGAGAAGCAGATATTTGGTTAACTGCTTTCACTTAATCATCATTATCCTAATCATCCACCTGTAATAAGCTGTGTGCTTGGAGCCTTACTAAGGGCCAGAAGGAATAAATTACCTTATCAAAATCAGGTCCCCAGAAAAATTTGCAACCAGTAAATATATCTATTCTGGTCAATTGTTTTGCAACTTGGGTTTATATATTTGAGTGCTTCAGAAACTTCATGGAAAATAAAATCAAAGCATAAGTTTATTTTGGTGCAAAAAATTGTTTAAACCATGTACAGTTTCTTTTCCTCCATGAGATGGATTTTCTAAAGACCCTTCAAGCATTAGGGAGTTTTGGTTTCCCTCTTTGCTGTGACTTTTAGCAGGGAGTAGTTCACAAGTAGCTTCTACCGTCTAAAACTTTAAAACTTAAATTTAAGCAAACTGCTTTTGGGTAGCTATCAAATCAGATCACTACAATACTAGGCAATGTGGTCTTTATCCAATCACCCATGGATTCTTCACACTCGGTACTGTCTGGAGAAAGACAAGGAAAATCAAGTGATCATACAGCAGTTTCCTAATGCAGAAATCATTCTTTCAATTAACAAGGTCAGATCCACTTTGCTTTATGTCAATGAGTTCCACGTACTCTTCAACCCTTTAGTCTCTACATTTTCATTTCTTTGTTTGTTTAAAGATTTATTTTATTTTTATTGGAAAGTCAGATATACAGAGAGAAGGAAAGACAGAGGGAAAGATCTTCCGCCCAATGATTCACTCCCCAAGTGAGCGCAAGAATCCAGGATCCAGGAACTTCTTCAAGGTCTCCCACACAGGTGCAGGGTCCCTAGGCATTGGGCCGTCCTCGACTGCTTTCCCAGGCCACAAGCAGGGAGCTGGATGGGAAGTGGAGCTTCCAGGATTAGAACCCATGCCCATATGGGATCCCGGGGCATTCAAGGCAAGGACTTTAGCTGCTAGGCCACGCCACTGGGCCCTACATTTTCATTTCTAGTGCTTTCTCAATGGGGCCAGCACTGTGGCTCCATTGGCTAATCCTCCTGCAAGCACTGAAATCCCATATGGGCACCTGTTCGTGTCCCAGCTGCTCCATTTTCTATCCAGTTCCCTGCCTGTGGCCTGCGAAAGCCAATGGAGGATGGCCCAAAGCCTTGGATCCTGCACTCGCCTGTGGGAGAGCAGGAAGAAGCTCCTGGCTTCAGATCAGCTCAGCTCTGGCCATTTGGGCCATTTGGGGAGTGAACCAGCAAACAGAAAATCTTTCTGTCACTCCTCTGTATAAATCTGCCTTTCCAGTAAAAATAAATAGATCTTTAAAGAAAAAACTTTTTTCTAAGGAACCTTCTCCATCATCTATTCAAAGTTCTTTTGAGCAGCAATTTTTAAGCAAGTATGTTTCATCCCACTGGGCTTTCTGGCTTAGCATCTACTGATGTCTGGCTTTTTTAGATTTAATTGTATGCATAGTTTATTTACCCATAAAGTCAAAACCTTTTATTACATTTTATGTTTAATTTGGAATTTTTTTGTGACTTAAAGTAAGAGGAGTCTTACTGTAAGTCGGGAAATCAGGCCGAGAACACATGTATACAATACTGAGTGAATACAAGTAAATTTATAACCTGTAAAGTTTACAAATATTCTGGTATTGAAACTAAAATAGAAAATCTGGCACTGGGTATAAGCTAATGGAAGCAGGCACATTTATATATCTTTCTTATCACAAGGCTTGCCTGTATGCTAGAGCTTTCAGAAGAGATTGTCAAAACACCTGAAAAATCAAAAATTGCTTATTATTCTTATAAATCTATGAAGATCATTCCCAAAGATTAACATCTGTTTTCCTCTGTCAGTTTACCTGATATTCCTCAAGGATGCACTTCGAGGAGGAAAAAAAAAGCAACACAAGTTTATCTGAAACAATAGGAAAAGTGAAGATTTTTACTTACCTATGGAGTGTTCTGCTGAAGAAACACCAGTCTAAACAGCAGTCAAGATCATGCTAACTCGCCGTGGTGCTGACTTCTGGGGCAGTTGTTAACCCACTCTTTAACCATGGATGCGCTGAGAAGTAGCCTAAGCTTAGATCTTTTTTTTTTTTAATCTTCAATGATTTTCCAGTGTTGCCCAACACAAATGTTTAATATTTAGCAATATTTAAAGCCAGTTCCTCATGCACAAACTCTTCAGCTGATTGCAAAGAGTCTGTTTGGTTTACAAGGTGTCACCCAGGCAACCACCCACTGTGTGTCTAGCTTGGAGAATTGAAAGCAAGACAATCTCATCCAGGAAAGAAAACAAGGGTTGAGACGTTTCCAAGTTGCTCTTTCAGAGTTTCTGAAAGTTGGACATCTATATATTCCTATGCCTGACCCAACTGCCTTGTCACCTTGCTTACTGAGACCATCTATAGGAAAATCCCACCTTTTAGAATCCCCACACTGTGACAGAAGGTTCCTTTGCAAATCTGAAAATAGGTCACAGAGTGATTGTCCAGTTGGATGTATTTTTACACTCGTGCTCCAGGAAGCACCAGTGGGAAAAAATCCTTACATTGAAGTATATTGCATGTCTAGATAGACTAGCAGTGTTCAGAAGCAAAAGCTTCTTTAAATTGGCTACATTTTTGTTGGACTGCTTAGTGGCAATAAACCAGGCATTTGGGCGCTGCCATGTTTTACTTCTCTGCTACTTATTGAAGGATGCAGGGGATTTCTCTTCCAAAGATGTAAATGACATCATATGCTCTTAACTCATTGGGGTACAAATACCTTACAATACCAACAGCTGACATCTGTTGAATGTCTATTATGTTAATCCTGTGTAGGAATGATATTATTGACTCCTCAGAACAACGGTAGAGTTGATACAACAATTACCATCACGGCTGTGATACAGATAAAGGCATTGACGTTTAGAAATTTTAAGCTAATCAATGGTGGAAACAAGGCTGAAATTTAGGCAGCATTGAAAACGTGTTGAAATACCTACCATTTTTACTGTGATAACACAGCACACACACACACGGACTCACACACTTCTCTAGGGAATGAAAACTTCAGGTAAAGATTGCTGGGTCTATGCATAAGCTGATTGCGGTAACAGACTGTGCCGGACCCTGTACTGGAAAGCACACACAAGAATCAGGTCTGGGATCACCTCAGACAAAGTTTCTTTGGGGAGCCCTCCAACTGAACTGCTGATCTCAGAACCCCAGCCATGAAGAGACTATGTCAGCCAGTGGATTCTGAATAGATTTCATCATGCTTGGAACAATGAGATTGGCAGCAATTCAGAACTGTTAAACTACCAAAACTGCTTGAGCAGGACCCTCAGAGCATGCCCCACATCGGGGACCTGGGATGGATGGGAGGCTGGGTGGGGCTTACATCAATTGC